TGGCAGTGAGAGTAATTACACAAACACTGTCAGTGCTGAGGATGAGAAAAAGCCTCAGCAACGGTCACAGATGGCTTTCTCTGTCAGACTGTCATCCTTCTCTGTACACCGAGTCTCTTTTTATCTGAATCATCACAAACTTTTCTCTGTTTGCATCACTTGTCATGATTTGGAGTTTGAGCCTGTTTATCAGCACTGACCTGTCTGCTGCTGTCTTCTTCTTCTGTTGTAGCCTCCAGACGTCCCTGAGGAGCCGAGGACCAATGAAGAAGAACAAGGCCAGGCTGTGTGAATTCATCAGGATTATATTTAACAGACTTATTTCTCTCATGTAAAACAGTTAAAGTGCTCTTCTGCTTCAAGCTGTCAATAAAAATCAATCAGTAAGGCTCAACAGAAAGACTGTGAGCAGTTCACTGGTTTAAAATAAATCCACCTGTTTATGACCAGAATATCATCAGGAAGTCAAAACATGATGCACTGGAAGGTTTATGATAAAAGATGTGTTGTTAAAACCTGATTGTGTGTATGCTGCTGTTATTGTGTGTGGAACTGATACTAAAGTACTCATCCGTCCAAAACCAGATATTTGTGTTTTATAATTGATTCTCCAATTAAAATATTGATAATTTAGTAATTTGCGCTAAATTTGTAGTTTATCATTAACAGGAACACAGTGGGAAACTACTTTATTGAGATCATCTAAATGATTGGTAGAACTACTTCTTCCACCTGTCATAGTGATGTGTCACATACGGAGGTGTAAATGTTCCATGGCTCACGTGTGCTGATGATAATAATGGATGATCGCAAACAGCAAAGACGCGGCTGGTGACACACGTGGTAAGACCACAAACCTCGTCTAACTCAAAAGCAAATCATAACACAGAATGTGATGATGTGTTTATGATGAAGTGAACTGAGATGATAACAGGGTTCTTGCTGATCGGAGCTGGCTTGGCCCTGGCTTATCAAAGATTAAAGTAAGCGGAATCGGCTGTTCAAACCTCCACAAGGATGCCCGCTGGGATTGAAGCGATGGGATGGGTTGTAACTTCTCAAAATGGGCTCGTTGAAGCAGCACAGATAAGATCTTGGAGAAGCTCACAGCTCTTCAACGGGAGATTGAGAGACCAGTGACGGACTGCTAGACCGGCAGATAGATTGTTTGTACTAAAGGAAAACAACCATCCTTTCATGCGGCCACCATATCGGCTCCAGCTGTGGTCTCAGGGCTGGAGCCGAACATAACAAATTCTCACCTTGATAACAGACTGTGTTTAGACTGTTCCTTCCTCCCCTACGCAAGGCCACCTGGGTTGGCTGGAAGACTGTTTACTTAGCCTGGCTGGGCAAAGGACACTCTCTCAGCTAAACTCAGGACACACTGATACACACTCATCCCCCCTTTCCAAATGCCTTCGATGCTTGTCTCCTCCCGGGGTAGATGGCGGGTTGACTAGACCAGCGCAGACATGCTGCAGGACCAGATGCGCTGTCTACACCGGCTCTCTCTTACACTTTACCCACCTCTGCTACCTGTCTTGTGTTTATATGGTGTACTGACAGTCATGTGCTTTTTTGTTCAACCTGTTTATGATCAGAAATAACAAGAAAGCCTTAAATTGAAAGGTCAGAAATGAAACTTACCCGGTAATGCCATACTTGACATCAGATCACGAGTCCAACATCATCATCAAGTTTGGGGATGACACAACCATCATAGGCCTCATCACAGGCAATGATGAGACGGCCTATAGAGAGGAGGTGATGGCGCTGTACGAGTGGTG